ACTTATTGCAAAAAAAAGTGCTAAGAATAATAGGTAACGTTCCCTACATACATCATACGGATTCACTGTTCAAGTCATACAAGATTATTAATATTCACCAAATCTATAACTATCGTTTAACGATGGCGTATAAATATGCGGCATTAGGACGCTCAAATGTAATTCTTCAACTGTCTGATTTAAAAGAAATAAGTGATTATTATTCATCGAGAAATCACCAGCCCTGGCAAATTCCGAAATGTAGAACAAACTATGGAAAACAAAAAATAAGTTATGCCTTACCGTCTATTCTGAACGAATATTTTGTTAAAAACATAGATATTGTGCAATTGTCCAACAGCCAAATATTCAATTTGTTCATTTGATTTGTTTTTCTTTTTTGACCAGTGTACTGTATGTACTCCGTCGTAGCTGCTGAATGGGGGGCCCGGAGCCTCGTCAAGCTGCATTTATGCAGCTTTTTCTTCGGCCTCCCATTCACCACTTGTATTTGTGGTGAAAAATAAAGTTCGTATCGTATCGTAACTTGACGGTTGCAAAGAACATTTTTGAAACAGGTGTTAGAAAATTAGACTTTGTTTGCTTATTAACATTCAGTTGGTTCTGTCTTCCCGCGGAACGCAATAATATAGCAGGCTATCTACATGTTTCCTCCTCTCATGAAAGGCACGGGTCGGGCTACACTGCACCAAACGCCGAGGAGACGTCGACGAAAAGCGTCGTGTGTGGTTTGGCGACCTTCCCCTCTTCCCTTCTGTGAAAAAAGCGCCCTCCAAATCCCGTGATTACGCCCGTTGAAACGCGCGTAAATTTGTCGAGAATACGCCCTATGTGGGTCGGCCTTTAGTCGCCTTCTGGCCTCCATGAGTTGGAGTGCGCTCTTACCGGGAGTGCGACTTTTTATTTATTTGTTAGAATAGCCTCAAGGCCCATCGGGTAATACAGAGAGGGTGAACAGAGAAGCACGATATGCGAAACAAACATAAAGATCGGTACAAATATCCTCATGGGATACTTGTATCAAAATAAATTGTAACAGCTACAAGTTTGGGCATTAAAATCCTGACGATGAAATGGGTGAATGACACGAAAACGCACTCGATCCGTGCGTAAAAGAGCATCTTTCACACTTTTTATATAAAAGACATTCGATGAAACGGCCGTCAGCGATTCGATGAGACGTCAATTTTTTATATGAAACAGCGTTCGACGAAACGGCGTTCGATGAAATGTCCGGGAACCAATTTTTTATTATGATTCGGACAAAATAAAGCTGAAAGGGATGTCTCGTCAAATTGAAAATAGGAAAGCGAACTTTGAGAACCTCTCGCGAGGTAAACACTTCAGTGAAAACGACTCCGCGATGCTGTTGGTTCCAATGAGTTGTGTGAGTGCTGGTCTCGAATTAGCTCCAAGTTCATTCATCTTTTTTTTTTTTTTTTTTTAATTTTGTAGACCAGTAGACCAACATTTCCTCAAAAGCCAGAAGACTGGCCAGAAGAAGAGGTGGCTGGCTTCCGGGGTCTTTTCAATCAAACACCTGTTTATTTCACCCGGTCGACCCAAACCGTCCTCGCCAATCGAAGTCTTAAATCTAAAAAGTCGGTGAAACTTCAGCGTATCCAAAAATGAGGTATACACCTGCTATAAATTAATACATCTGTTTGTATGTTTAATTTTGTGGACACAAATGCGCATAATGCGTGATGCGCTTCTCAGCCGAGCGATTTTAAGTTTGTAAAGAATAGTGAAAACTGGAGATGACACATTAATCAATCACCTGAATTTGTCGGCCCATAACCGACAATTTAGGAACCTATAAAAAAAAAAAAGTTTTTTTTTTTTCGTTCGGGCAGACGTCGCGATGTGACAAACTTTTTTGTTTGGCCACGTATTCGTAGCAGGCAGAGCTACGTGTCAGCAACTGTCGAGTGCACTTGAATAGAAGCGTCGGTACCGGCGAGGTCAATGTATATGCATTGTGCTCGCCGCATACTTGTTTTAACTATAGCTAAGACAAGTGTGCGGCGCTTTGCAACACAACTGTGCACGCGTGCACAGCTAAGACAATACATTGAGTCTTGTGAACAAACCGTTCGTGTACAGTAGCCCTCCACAGATCAGAAACAAAGAAGAATCGGAGAGGCTCTGAATTGCCTTGACGCACGCCGCGAAAACTGTAATGTGAAGCTCTAAACTTGTTTTCAAACATTAAAAAAAAAAAAAAAAAAAAAAAACCCGCAAAAAATTGTAATTATAAATAGAAACTTCGAGGTGTTGTTATTCGTGAAAAAGACCACTCACAAAAACGTCATACACGTTTCTTTAATAAAATAGTCTTTTTTTTAATTGGCATAGATGCGATCTAACATAGCCAGGTTGTCGTCTGCTCGCAACTTACAAACTCCGTCAAAGGAGGGCGCGCGCGGGATGGCGCCACCAAAACATCTCGTCGCCGATAGTGTAACTTTACGAACTTGCTCTACTTTGATTCCTTTTTTTTTTTTCTCCGAATGTTTAGCACACGATTCGAAGATGATCCAGCAGGACGTTTGGTCGAATTTCATTTGTATTCATTTGTGTAGACGGGTGGCCAGGCGGACATATTGTGGCGAGTTACGCCTTCGCGGCTTTGTTGTTTTAGTTTTACTTTGTTTTGGGATCCCTCCGCGGGTCACCCAGCATATTCGACCGCTGGTCGCCACCCCGAGGCGGATGAGGGTTTGTGTGGAAACGGTTGATGAGGACTCGCGCTCCGGGTGTCAAGTGACACGGTTCGTGTCTTTCTTCGGCATGATTACGGCCCCATGGCTCACGTACTGGCCGTCGGCCGCAAGTAAGAGAAAAGATGACGAGGGTAGAAAGTTTGGCAAGTTGGTGATTCATAATGATTAAAAAGCGCAACAAGACGAGGGACACAGAAGAAGACACAGACACAGCGCTCTTTCCCTGTCTTCTTCTGTGTCCGTCGTTTTGTGGCGCTTTTTAATCATTAAGAGAAAATAGCCAGGTTCAAGGAATTTGGGAATGGTTTCCACGTGTGGTTAGCTTTTGCTGTCATAGATTTTTGTTATTTATGTACTTGCGTCAGGCACGTAGCCAGGATTTTGTTTGGGGGGGGGGGGGGGGAGGGGGGGGGGGGGGGGGGGGGAACGGGCCCCATGGGCCCCTATCCCTGGCTACGTGCCTGACTTGCGTACCTTCTTTTGCCTGCCGTTGTCTTGTAGGTGTCCGCTTTTGTGGTCGTGGCTTCGAACGCGCCTTGTATTGTTTCTAGCTGCTCTTGTGAACTTCGTTCGAAATGCGTTTTGTTTTGTGCATGCCCTCGTGTATGTCATGCTCACGTTTGCTTTAGGCTCCGAGCCTTTTGATTGGTGCTAAAAGAACCTTCCGGGATTGGTTCTGTAGTTGCCCCCAGGACGCTGCTAAATCCAATATAAGGAGCTGCCAGAGGACCGCAGGACAGCAGGAGGACGGCAAGCGAAGTCGCCAGATATAGAAGTATGTACCCCCAAAGTTTAGTGGCGGATTGTCGTCTGTGTTGCAAAGTAGTTGCTCTCATACTCGTAAAATATACAGTCATATTTAAAACGACCTATTCCATGACGTCAGTTTTCTTTGTGATAATATGCAAGGAGCCATGATAAACCAATTTAGGGGACCAGCCGCGTTAAAAAGAGAGCATGGCACTTTTTTTTATAATTATTTCTTTTAGTTTAGTTGTTGTCCACCACGAATTACTCCAAATAAGGCCATTGGCCATTATGCTTCTTTATTGTGCATTCCTATTCGCGGAACACGCACCTTAAGGATCGGCTCAATTGAAACCATTAAGAGCTGAGCGGTTGAGATGGGTTTTCGCCTGTCAGCCTCAGGGTGGCACGCCGATTTGATCCCACTTCCTTCCTACTTTAGAAGAGTGCCTCACAGCTGTATGCACGCTGATCAGAATCTCCACAAATGTTTCTGACCTTCATTTATTTTTTCTATTTTTTTTTTTTTTTTTTTTTCGATATTGCTTGAAGGGGCGCGAGCAGCACTTGTACCCGAGAAGAGCCGCATGCGGTTCGTGAGCCCCCAGTTTGTCCACCGCTGGTGTAAAAGATATCGTGCGATTATGTGGTGTCATGTACCGTCTCGTGCTGGGCAAGGCTGTCCAATATACCGAGAGGCTCCCTCGATCCCTTTAGGCGGAGTTCCGGGACTGGCTCGTGAGATCGGTCTATCGAAACTTTGAAATAGCGGAGGAGCGTCGATAAGCTCGGCCGGCCACTGGATGCCGGCCCTTTCCACAAGACGCTTCCGAACGAATCGACGCGCTGGACAGAGCGCTGCCGGGTGCTTTTCCACTTGCGCGGGAACCGGTGCCGCTACAACATCAGCGAGGCTCTCTCTCCGTGCCCCAGTGAGCTCAGCACTGCAGATCCGTGGCGAACGTGGTGATGGGGAGCGTGCGGTGCAGAGCGAGCGCGTGCCACGTCATCCTGCCGCCTGCCAACGAACCACGACAAAACGAGCGCGAGCCTCGCAAGGGCGGAGTTGATGGCTATCGTTCGCCGGCACACTGGGCAAAGTGGCCCGGAGCAGCGCCATGCTGCGGCCTCGACGACAACAATCTCGGCTCGCGCTCATTATGAACCCCGCTTCATCCACGTCTGCGCCAAAGCCTCCCCTCCCCGGGCCACGCACCCTCCCTTCCCAGGCGTCGTCGCGGAGCAACGCGAAAGCGGGCGCCAAAGAAAAAAACACGCAAAGCTGCACGGCGCTCAGCCGGCTCAGCGGGAGAGCTCGGGAAGGCCGACGCGTTCCTCGAAAACAACAAAAACCGCAGGCGGAAACGGCGAGCCTCCCCGCCGTCGCCCCCTCGGCGTTCCCGAATGGACTCGACCGAAGACGGCCTCTTCCAAGTCTGCTCACGCGCAGTGGCGCTGGCGCCGTGAGCCAATCGGCGGCGCCCTGGGCCGCCATATAACGACTCTTTTCATTGGTGGAAAATCGGGCCGCCCAGGGTCGCTTTCCGTGTCGTCGACGGAGGAAGGTCCAATTAAAGTTGCCATCTACCGTCCGCCGCGTGACGTCACAAAAGGAACGCCGCCAATGGCGGCTAGGGTGTCGGTGCAGAAACTTGGCCAGCCGGATGTTTGAGGAAGAGTGGACCTTCTTTTTCTGAGTGTGCGCTCCGTCGAGTTCGTACCCAGCGATCGACGGATCTCAGCGAACCCGGTGTTCCGACCAGTGCAGTGCGTGAACCCTTCGTGCCGAGCCCGAATTGTGCCCCGGACCCCTTGGATACACCGACAGCGGGTCTCGCCGTCCTGCGCGTCGAGCGGCCGATCACTGAGGTAAGTCCGTGCGCGAGCTCCGGAGCCCGAGTTTCCATCTGTTTTATTTATTCCTTCATTTGCCACGGCGCAACCCGCGCGGCGTCGTGGCAGTGCTTCAGAGCACATTCGGTGTGCCGCCATTGTTGGTTAGCTTGGAAGCAGACGAAGGCCTCGCGGCCGAAAACTGCTGAACGTCGTCCGCTGCACGCATTTCGCGAAGGCTCTTGCAGGCGACGTCACATTTGGCGCGGCCTGCCGTTTGCCACTGCGCTCGGGCCGTCGACGAAAAAACTGTAGGCCGCTTCCTTCTGGCCCCCCGCCAGCTGCCCGGGACTCTCGCTGCCCACTTCGCATAGTAATTACGGGGGGAACCAACCGACTGCAATCACAATTTTCCTTCCCAGCGCCGATGGAACAAAACAAAACAAAAATTGGAATGCCCGCATGCAACGGGGCGCCGCCATTAGAGGCTGTGAAAGAGGGGATAGAACGCAGGAGGAAATGTTCTGGCAGCGACAGCGCGCGGCAGGGGGCGCTCCCGCTGCGGCGCCGGTTGCCGTGGCAACCGCGACGCCCCTCCGGCTGCCGTCGGCGTTCCTCTTTGTGAGGGCCGGCTGCGGCTCGCTACGGCTTTGCCGCCACTCGCCGGGCTCGCTGCATTTACGGCTCGGGAAAGAAATACCGAGAACCCCCGCTGCTGTGGACCAGTTTTGGCTGGCTGCTCTTTCTCCCCTTCCCCTTTCTCCGGACCCGCCTTGCCGCAGCCAGCTTTCTCTCTCCCCCTTTGCAATCTGCGTGCCATCAACCGAACTCACCCCCCCTTTGTACTGCTTCGGTCGAGTCCATTTCGTCGTGGAGGGGGGGAGGGTTGGCCGCTGCGCTGGCTGCGCGACGCAGCCAACGCAGCCGTATATTCGTCCCGGGTTTGTTTGCTTCATAATTTCCTCGCATTTCTGCGCGTTTGCTCCCCGATACCGCCGCAGGGTCTGTAGTCCGGCGCGTCCGGTGGAAGTGGGGGGTGGCCACGTTAGCGGGCACGGCTTCCTCCCTTCCGCGTGGCAACAACGCTCTCGAATCGAGACTCGCTGTGTGTGCGCCATTCTGCCTGCTTCTCGATCCACTGGATATGTGACCCAGCGTCGTCTCTCGGTGTCGGTGCCGTGGGTTTTTTTATCTTTTTTTTCGTGATCCGCTGTCGGTGCCGTTTTGGATGCCTGTGGACTGGCTGTCTGGTGGGTCCAAAGGTGGTGTTTTATTTTCTGGTGGAGCGTGTGAGTGCCGAACATAGTTGTTGGACTAAGGGACTTCGCGCTTTTCGGTGGGTCGTCGCTATCTTTTCCGCGTGTAACGTTCCACGGCACAAGAGCCTCGCCAAGTGTCCTTTACATGTTAGCGAGCGAGCCATCCCAGGTTCTGGCTTGGGCCGAAGAGACGCTGCGAGTTTTGCGCTACTTTTTTGCTCACGCGTGTCTCACGAGTCCTCTTAGTAATGGAGATTGCGGAAAGTGGGGTCCTTTGGAGAGCCCATCCTGGGCGGCTAAAGGCGAGGCTCGTCCGCCCTCATCACGAACGCACGATGAACTGCGGTCTTCGCGTACCATACGGCACGCGATGACCGCCCGGGGCGGCGAGCGTGTTTCTGCTGCGGAGGCTCGGTGGCAATGAACTCGCGACGCCGGGACTTCAGTTTGTCGGCGCATTTTGAGGGATTCCATTTGTTTGGCAGTACCGGGTCCCGCGCCTTGCTGTCGTCTGAGGTGGACCCTGGGCTGCGTCGTCGCTCTTCTCGTGGGTTCCCTCTTATCTACAACTAGCTCTCGCCGTACGTGTCGACCGAGAAACGAGCTCGCTTTTATCGAGACCATCAACCGTTCTCCCCGAGGTTCGGGTATTACCCAGCGGTTCAGTATACCGCGGGCATCCAGTGGTGCGTGTCACTTCTCCGACGTTACGGCGGATTCGTGCGACAATCAGTTTCACGCAGCGACGCCACAAATGGAGAGAATTCATGCAGGGATAGTCTTCGTCAACACGGCTATGGGGGGAGTAGACGGGCGCTTTGGTTGTCTGCGCTTGGTACGTGTGTGTGGGCTTGAAATCATCGAGGGCTCTTCCTCCGTGTACGGTTAACCGTGCCGGCGGCAGCCCAAAGGAACGAAATAGGTCTGAGGTTCCCGACGCGTTCTCCGATGGTTGTCGCGCTGCTTCCATGCTCGAACCTGTCGACGCTGCGCGGCCCAGTGCGATCCGAAAAGTAGCGACTGTACAAAGCCCATCGGTGCTCGAGAGGCACGCAGGCGTCCTTCGAGTAACGTCCAGTATTTGCTTTGTTCTTCTACTCGTCTGTCCGAAATACACGACGTATATCCACTGTATCAGGAGTATAAAGTTGAGCAAGTTGGTGCTGCCTATCGCAAAGGAAGCGGTGCTAACAATGTTATGGTCGCGAACAAGGTGAGAAGGGCAAAGAGTGCCTGCTGGAGGCGTCCGTGAGAGACGGTTACCGTTTTGATCCTGTCGCTAACCATAGTCGGGGAAGCGGCGCTCACTTACTACCACAAGTTCATAGAGAAACAAACGCACTATTTGTACGTCGATGCCACGAACCAGTCGCTTCACAGTGTGCTTTGTTGTCTGTTTTCATGAGTTAGTCTTTTTTTTTTCTCTATTAATTGTATTTTATCTGTCAGCGCACCTGGTACGTGGTATATCGTGTACTTGTCCGTCGTCTTTTTTTGCGCCGTTTTCGCCGAACGTTTTACGAAGGTCGCCAATGCATGTGAAGCACCTGATCGACGAATGCTTTTTTTTATTATTCTTTTTTTTTTTTTCAGAACGAAAATAAAACTGCTTTTAGTGTGTCATCACTCTAGCGTTGTTCTTCTCTTCACAGCTGTGGTGATTCACATTACATCGAAAAAAAAAAAAAAAAAAAGACTAGAAACATTTTTTGTTACCGGGTATCCAAGTTATTTTATTTTGGTGAGCGTTTTGGAGGATTTCTGCCCTTAGTTTGAACTAGGCATTTTCGGTCTTCCAACTTTTCTGTCTTGCCAGATCTCTTCCTTTCTGGGGACTCTCGTGTTTGTTAAGTAGACGAAATGGCATTATGCGTGATGGGAGATAGGGGGAATTGCAGTTGATAGCACATCCTCCCTTATCAAACGTATCCTTGAGAGATACCAAAATGCTTCGTTTCACCTCGAGTACGGACGAAGACGGCGTACAACGAGATGAGAGTCATACAGCGTCAAAAGCTCAAGTCACCGGGCCTTTCCTATGCACGATTTGTCCCTGCGATAATAGAACGGGTATGCGGACACATGACCAACACCATGTGTGTTCGGTTTTTGCTCTGTTCGATTTATCCCTTCAGCTCGGCTGCGTCCCAAGTTTGGGGTGAAACGACGCGCCCAGAATGTTTGAGATACGGTATCTTGAGTGGAGTATATTCGAGATAAGCACAAGTCTGATAGAGAAACCGTCTGCTATACGACGCAATCTTCAAGTTGCTTCAGGGATGGTATACGATCGTCATTTTGAGCAGCGCCACGATGAGATTGCTGAATGCGTTTCGTCCCCTTTGAAAAAAGGCTGATGTCGAACTTGAGACGGACAAATCGCTTCCGGGCAGCGCTTGTTTGCACGGACTCGTTCGCATATACCCGACTTGGGCGACCGGCACACTTCTTTTACACCCTTCGAGCCGCGACATGGTCTCATTCCGGAAGCTGTTGTTTGCAGCAATTCGAGCTTGCCCGTGGACGCTGCGTGTATCCTTTTCTTGCGACTTGTGAGAGTTGCGCGTCGCTCCATCGGATCGTTTATCCACGAAACAAACACGTCTATCTAAGAGCAGAATCTGCTCGAAACGTCGAGAATAAAGCCTCTGCTGCTGCTATCACGATGTTTTTTTCGTCTGATACTCTCGGGGTGAAGAATTGCTTATGAGCACTTTGGATCCGGCTGCAGCCCAAGGAAGCCAGAGGATGAAAAGAGTACCAGCACAGCCGAAAGTATTTTCGCTATTACTTTCGCTGTGCTCGTTCTTCAAAACCTCCTTTGCTTCAAAATGTATATATGTTATTAGTATTATTGTTTTTATGATTATTAAATGAAGGCGTTAAAATACCGGAACGTCCTGAACGTCGACAGTGCGCCGAGGCGGGTATTGTAGTGTGGACGCATTCAAATCGGCGTTTCATAGCGTTTGGCTGCGTGTTGCGAGAGCTTGGATCGGGGTATACGACTGCGAGTTATCGCGTTAACCGTTAGTGATGCGCCGAACTTTTACCGAATCGAAGAAAATTCGGTGCCGAATCTTGAGATTCGGCAAAGATTCTGCAAAAATACGTTGTTACCAAACCTACAAGTTTCTATATAATTTTTTTCGTGCGAAAAACGTTGTTAAATTCTTTTTTTAACGCACATTGACTCAGTTATTAGTAAGTAGGATAATTAGTAAACTAGGTAGTTGTGTCGGTGTCATTTTTGTGTGTTTAATGGTAAATTTATAGTGACCTTTTGCTATAGTGGTGTGACAATGGGGTTGGGTAGTAGCGTCCCACAGTCACGATACACGAGTTTCGGTTTTGAGGCCTAATCAGCACAAGCCTAAGGCGGTAACACTGCGTTCGTACATTTTCTGCGAGTCGCCGATTCGTGCGCGAAAATGAATGCAACGACTGTTGAGCCTTCACCCGAAGAGATAACAATATTATTATAAATACGCATGTTTTTCGATTTGAGTCAATGTGGGACGCACACTTTGCATGAAAATGTGCGTCCCACATTCGCAACGTCTCATTTTTTAACTTTTAAAACGCCGATTTTTGATATTGGGGCACACGGAACGTTTGAGAAGATGGGAAGGGTTAAGAATGTCGGATGCGCAACATGGAGCAGATATGGTAGTTATATTTAATTTTATGTAGATAGATGCTAACCGCGAAATAACGCTAATTGAAAAGCAATATTATATTGTTTTTTGGCACAAACTACTTGTGAGCCGAAAACAG